TCTTATACATTAATTACACATGGGATAGTAAATAATATCTTTAATGTATGTGTGGACCTACATGTGCAATAGTTAACAAACCCAGGAGTTAGAGATTGATGAACACAAGTAAATTCAAACTCATTATGTGAACAAACTAAAACAGTTAGGGATGAACTTCTAAGAAATTGATGACTCACATAATGTTTTGACACATTAAATATAGAAGCAAATTAAAGCTATGAATTAAAATGAAAGAAGCGACTTAACGCAATATAATTATCATTCCCAATATACAAAACTGTCATAAACCCCTTCCAACCAGCTATTGGACAACAAAAAAATTGCCAAAAAGTTTCATCATCATTCTATGTTGAGTCTCAATGTACAAAACCAATCTTTGATCTTTTGATTGAATCAAGAAAGCTCCAAAAAAAATAAGATCTGCATATGAAAAATGGCATTATAGATATTAAGAGTAATCCCAACTGTAACAAATATATACACCTTCTTAAAACAAACAAAAGGTGAAAAACAAATCAATCGGGATCATAAGGCCAGGGGATAGATCATATACTTGCGTGGGATAGATAACATTCATGCCCATATATATTATATTGCAGCTTTTGCATGCAGAGTATATCCCCGCCCCCTTAGCTTTTATTATTCGATCTGTCCGGCCGTACCGTTTCTACATGCCGCTTCATCCGTGATGGAACAGAACACATTCTTAAAAACGTTGCATTGAAACAATCCTTTGTTGTTATTTTTTTTATCTCCATTTCCTTAGCCTTGTTTCCCTCCTGCAAAACAAAACAAAACAGACATGAGTAGGAAACAAAACAAAATAAAAATAAAAAATTTCCCTCCTGCAAAACAAAACAAAACAGACATGAGTAGGAAACAAAACAAAACAAAAAAAAAAACAATAAAAAAAACAAACAAACAAAACAAAACAAAACAAAAACAAAAACAAAAACAAAACAAAACCCAAAAAGAAAGAAAAAAAAACTAAGATAGTGAAAACCTCACCCATGCAAATCACGTATAAGCCTCAATTGTGGAAGATCACAAGATGATTAGCAAAAGTCGATGAAATAATTAATCTTAGTTGGGATTGTGAAGTTGATGGGTTGTGTATGGTGATATAAGGTGTATTTATACACAATGAATGAGATCAAAAGGGCTTAGTATTGAAATTATAAAATGGTAAGAGATCTCAAGAAAGGTAAAAACTTTCAATTTACATTAAATTTCCATTGTTATTTAAATTATTAGGCGATTGGATGAGCCTAAAATATTAAACACTGATCTTGCTTCTATTCAAATCCAATATACTTCAGCATATTCGTGTGGCATGTGTATATATAAATACAATAGCATACATAATATATTATTATTCTACCATAAGTATACAATATTACCAATTAATACAATTTACTTAATTTCTATTAAATATTTACTTACCAAATAAGATTTATTAGTATACAATTTACTTAATTTCCAAATAAATAAGATTTATTAATGATCAAATTATTCTTTCCATAAACCGAATATATATATGAATGTACATAAATGTCCCTAAATTTTGGGGGGAAAATTTGTTAGGAGGATTTTACTTTTATATATATATATATATATATATATATATATATATATATATAGATATAGATATAGATATAGATTATTATTATTATTATTACAAAAATATCCCTAAGTTTTGGGGGGAAAACTTGGCTAGGAGGATTTTACTTATATATATATATATATATATATATATATATATATATTATTGTTGTTGAAAAAATGAAAAAAAAAAAAAAAGAAGCACAATGCAGAGGGGTGACAAATTTGCTCACTTTTGTATTTCTGTGTTGTCTCACATCGGTGGAAGAACACCGAGGGGCCTTGAAAGGAGCCTCAAGATTTCTTAGTTTTTTCTTTCCATTCGATGTTCTTCCACATCGAATGAGAAGAAGAAACGAGCCTCTACCCGACTCGTTGAGCCTCTAAGTATTGTCTCAAGTCTCACTCAATAGACTTGTTTCTTTTTCTCATTTGATGTGGGATAACATTGAATGGGAAGAAAATATTAAAGAGTCTTGAAGCTCTTAGAGGAACAAGGCCCCTCAGTGTTCTCCCACCAATGTGGGACATCACAGAAATACAAAGGGGAGTCAATTTGGCTCTTCTTTGTATTGTATTGTTTTTTTTTTTTTTTCAACAACAACAATAATAATATATTATAATTATAATCATTATTCTGGATTATTGTTGTTTACACTTCAACTATTAATAGTAAACATTTAATTACCAAACATTTTCTTTAAAAATTGCCAAGATAATCCGCCGGTTAAATTCGCTGACATAATTCGTTATCCACCAAACATTTCTTAACAAATTACTAATATAATCCGCTGGTCAATCTCACTGACACTATCTTTATTCGTTGACACAATTTGCTAATCGCCAAACAAGTCAATATCTCAATATCAACAACACCCATTGTATTTTTCCTAGTAAATGAAATTTTGAGCATTGAGGCTCAATTTGGTACTTGGATTGTGTACAAGGACTTGATTGAGGTAGAAATACTAAGATAAAGAACACACTAGTGCTTGCTGGATAGTAGATGGAGGTGTGATCATATTCTGAAGGTGTTTGTTTTGTCCCACTGGCTGATTGTATTTTTTGCTATTGCTTAGTTGTAAATAGTAATTATAATGTTGTAATTATTGTCAATGTTGTAATTAGTAATGGCATATATTCAAGTGCCATAGAAAATAGTGTTTTCTTTTTCTTGTTTCTTGTGCTAGTCTGGTTCATGGTCACCAGCTGACACTATGACACCAATTTCATTCATTTTGAGACTTTTACAGGGCGTTTGGTTGGAGGGAGGGAATTATGTGGGAAAGAAATTGTAATTTCATGGGAGTTGAATTACTAGGAATAAAGTGGGAATTTAAATTCCAGTGTTTGGTTGACAGGAATAGAATTACTGGGAATTTCAATTCCAATGTTTGGTATATATGGGAATTGAAAGGGAATAAGTAGTATAAAGTCAAAAATGTCCATTATTGTTGTTAGACATTTATTTTTAGGTTAAAAAAGGAAGGGGTAATTTTGACTCATCACTATCTTTTTTTCCCAGGAATTAAAATACCAGGGGGGGACATGGGATTTTAATTCCATGAAAATGGGGGAATTGCAATTCCATGGAATTGCAATTCCCTCCAACCAAACTACGGAATTTAATGACCTTTGGAATTAGGTGGGAATTAAGTGGGAAGAGAATTTAAAATCCCTCCAACCAAACGCCCTGTTAATGACAACAGGAAGGGTGGAGGATTCAGAGAATATTTTTCTTCTCTTTTCCTGGTTACCAACTTCACTATCACTAAACAGATACCCCTTATATTTTTTTTGATTGACCGGCCACAAGGTGTCATGAGCATATCTTAATTATACGAGACGTATTTAGTTTGTACGATATCCAAACTAATTCATATTCACATTCGGCGTAATTAAGAGGTAAAGTGTTGGCAATTATAAAAAAAAATTATTTTAAGGGAAAATGGCACTTCTTCCCCCTAAGTTATATACTTATAGTACTTTCCCCCCCTGAATTATTCAAGTGGCTGTTTTTCCCCTTAAAATGTTAAATGGACATATTTACCCTTAAAATAAATATTTCATTTATTTTTCTTCTCCAACAAATTATGACAATAATTTGGTTCAAACCAAACAAACACTATAGCAACCAAACCGAAATATTCCAATTACAATTTAGAATCGAAACTCGATATTTAGAGTTTATTAAAATCGCGAACCGGAACGGACAATTCATGTTCTGAACTGAAAAAATAAAGTACATTTATTGTTGAATTTAGACTATTTAAAATAAAAAATAAAATTTTAAAATAAAGGTTCAAAATCGCGAACCGGATCCAGAACCGCCGATTCACGGTTCAAGATCCAATTTTTTTTAATTCATAATTTTAATAAATTGAAATCCAAATATTAGGTTCTAGACCTGAATCATAACCGAAAACTTTTTATTCAATTGCTATAGTGTCCGGTTCAGTTTGATCTGAACCGTGGTCATCCCTACGTATACGCGATAATTTATTGGAGAAGTAAAATAAATAAAATGTTCACTTTAAGGGTAGAAATGTCAATTTAATATATCAGGGGGAAAAACCACCACTTTTAGAATAATTGAGGGGGCTAATGTGCTTACCTAAATAATTGAGGGGGAAAAATGGCTATAAGTATATAACTCAGGGGAAAAAAGTGCCATTTTCCCTTATTTTAAAAATATAAAAACAAAAAATTAAGGTAATTGATCTTAAGATAATAATGACATCTAAAGCATATGAACAAAAAAATAAAAATAAAAATTTTAAAGTACTAATCTAAGTTTAAAAATTAAATTACTAATAAATTGAAATGATACTCATTTTTAATTAGGGTATGAAATTTTTAATTGAATGAGGTAATCAAATTTCATAATTGTGTGTAAACAAACTCATTCTGCAATGCGTGTGGATTCAGTTCAGAATACGTGTGGATCCCGATTCATAATATGAAAAAATGTAATATGTTAATAGTAAATATACATAATTTTTGCTTTCAAAAAATATATACATAATTTGGTCCAAGTTCAACTTGAATACCAATTCACAATGAGTGTGGAACCCGGTTTGTAATGCGTGCAGATTCAGTGCAGAATACATGTGAATCCCGGTCTGAAATGTGCGTGAACCTTAAATAGAGGCTGTAATACTAACTCTGTGTCTCTGTACTTTTCGAGGAAGCTCAGAAATGGAGAGTAAAAGAGGCAACAGAGAGTCTGGCTTTTGTTGAAAGGGTGGTTGACCTTCTCTGTTCTTGCCAATGATTTCTCCATATTTCAACAGCCCTTTCGTTCATCTGGAAATGGAATAATTTAGATGCAGATAGATCGATGGATTATATATACTACATTCTACCCTCGTTTGGTTTTAATTACTGCCATTTTCCCAATCTTTTTCAATCATTCCATGGAAACTCTGTTTTTGGTCGTCTGTAATCTGTAAACTGTTGCTGCTAGCTTAATCTATGTCGGATGGCTAGATAGATATATGCCTTGAAACTTGAAAGTGAGGTGATGATGATATTTCTCGGTTTCTGTTCGTTCTGAGCTACTCATCTGGGCAATTGAGATGATCTGACCCGTATCTTGGCGGGGCAACCCGGAATAGTACCGGTTTTGCAGCCATGGCGGCGATGGCTTCTCTTTTACCCCTGTCAGGAACACGGAGCTGAGCCTCAAAGTAAGAATCCTGTTGATGTTAATGTTTGCCGACCCTTTCTAGTAGGAGGGCATATATTTGACCCTTATCCCTTTTCTTTATAATAGGCTCAAAGAATGAGGCTTTACAGAGAATATGGAATTTTTATGGGTGGTTGCAAATCTCTGCTTTGCCCATGATTTCTCTTTATACTCAATGCAACAGCCCCCTTTCACACACTCCGTGTCTGTGAACCGGTGTGTGTGTATATATATATATATATACTCCGTATATATGATGTTTCAGCTATCTAGCTTCAGCTATTGGTAATGTTATTGCTGTGGACTGCGTGGTGGGAATTTGGTGGTTTTGTACTCATGAAAGTGTGTATGTGTGAATACATATATATAAAGAGATTTATGAGGTGGTGATGATGATGGATCTTTTTGAGCAAAAAATGGTATTGAGATGATTTAGCTGTATCTTGGCAGGGCAACCTGGACTTGTTTGTGAATATTTTCGCACTCAAGCTGGGTTTGCAGCCATGGCAGTGCCAAGCATTTCAATCCTGGAATTATAGGGATCTGAGCCTCAACCTCTATATATTTGACTGCTGCATTATTATCCATTAGTAGCTCAAGTTCAAAAGTAAATGATGTTTAATTGCATTTGCTGCCATTGTTATGCTATCAAAGGAAATTCTTTATTGAATTACATATCTAATACTTACACTCATTAAATAAATTTAATACTCTTTGTGTGTTTGCTTTCAAGTTCAAAACTAAATGTTCTTTAATCAAGATTGCAGCCATTATTATGCCGTCAAAGGAAATTCTTTATTGAACTACATATCTAATACAGTAATAGTGTAATATCTTTACTCATTAACGAAACTTGATACTCTGTGTGTGTGTTTGGCTGCTTTTTTTTCACTACTAAGTCATCTGATGCCAGATACTAGGTGAAAAGGATGGAAAATGAAGTCTGCACTGTACAAATTTGATTATGAACCTAGGTTGAACCACTAATTATTGATATAATGTTATTTCATTAGAAGAAAGATTTAGTTAAAGCCCATAGTGCACCTTGAAATTGAAAAAGCATTGCATGGATAAACTTAGTCTTATAATAGAGGCTTTAATCTTAACCCTAAACTAATGTGTCTCTGTACCTTTTGAGGCAACTGAGTGTTGGGATTTTGTTGAAAGAGTGGTTGGTCTTCTCTGTTCTTGCCAATCATTTCTCCAATTTTCAACAGACTTTTTGTTATTTGGAAATGGAATATAACATACACAGATAGATAGATTATATGTATTATATTCTGTCCTCATTTGGTTAAGCATTGCCATTTTCACAATCCCTTTCACCCAATTTTACAGAAACTTCTTTTTTCATCTGTATTCTGTAAACTATTCCTACTAGCTTAAGCTTGGTTGGATTGCTAGATGCCTTGAAATTGAGTCAATGTTGATGATATTTCTCTGTTTCTGTTCTTTTTGGACATTTGAGAATAACTGACCCGTATCTTGGCAGGATGACCCAAGATTATCCCGGTTTTTGCAGCCATGGCTTCTCTTTTTGCCCCCATCAGTAACACGGAGCTGAGCCTCAAAGTAATAAATCTGTCACTTTTGATGTTTGACAGCCCTTTCTAGTAGGATGGCATATATTTGAAACTTATCCCTTTTTGTTTATAATCTGCTCAAAGAATGAGGCTTTACAGAGAATGGGTGGTTGCACATCTCTGTTTTGCCCAAGATATCTCTTTATACTCAATCCAACAGCCCCCTTTCACACACTCCCTCTCTGTGAACCTATGTGTGTGTGTGTGTGTATATATATATATATATATATATATATATATATGTATATATATATAGTTTTAGATCAGGTATTTTATGAATAAAATTATACTTTCGATGCCAATTTGACTAGAACTTAGAATACTCTAAAAGAATATGTGATGGAGATTTTTGTATATATAGATACATATATACATATATACATATATACATCTTTTTGCCCAGAGTATGCACATACAGTTAACAAATTAACAAATTATGTACATTTCGTTAACATATTATGCATATTCAGTCATAACTGAATATACATGATTTGTTAACTTAAAATACATAATATTATACATAATCTGGTCTAGTTTTACCTTGAATCCCGGTTCACAATGCACGTGGACCTCAGTCTTAAGGCGTGTGGATCAAGCCCATAATACGCGTGGACCCCTCCATATTCTGAAAATACGTAATATGTTAACTATATATATACATAATCTTGTCCAAGTTCAGCTTAAATCCAGATTGTGCAATGCGCGTGGATCCTGTCAACAATAAGTGTGCACCCTGGTCAATAATTTGAAAATACATAATGTGTTAACTACATATATACACATAATCTGGTCCAATTTCAGCTTGAATTCTGATTCAAAATGTGTGGACCCTGGTCTGCAATGTGCGTGGATCCAGTCCAACACTCGTGTAGACCCAGGTCCACATGCGTGTCCACCGTGCAATGTGCGTGGATCCAGTCCACAATATGTGTGGACCTGGGTCCACAATGCGTGTGGACCCTTGCAATGTGCGTGAATCTAGTTTACAATACATGTGGACCTGGGTCCACAATGCGCGTGGACCCTACTCTAATTGCTTAAATTGAGGCTGTAGTCCTAACTGTGTCCCTGTTCTTTACGAGGTAGCTCAGAAATGGAGAGGGAAAGAGGCAACAGAGAGTTGGGGGTTTTTGTTGAAAGGGTGGTTGACCTTCTCTATTCTTGCCAATGATTTCTCCATATTTCAACAGCCCTTTCGTTACTCTGGAAATGGATTAGATATATTACATTCTATCCTCATTTGGTTTTAATTTCTGCTCTTTTCCCAGTCCTCTTCACTCATTCCATGGAAACTCTGTTTTTGGTTGTCTGTATTCTATAAACTATTGCTGCTAGCTTAATCTCTGTTGGATGGCTAGATGCCTTGATGCTTGAAATTGAGGCGATGATGATATTTCTTGGTTTCTGAGCTACTTATCTGGGCAATTGAGATTAACTGACCTGTATCTTGGCGGGGCAACCCGGAATAATACCGATTTTGCAGCCATGGCGGCAATGGCTTCTCTTTTACGCCTATCAAGAACATGGAGCTGAGCCACAAAGTAAGAATCTTGTTGATGTTGATGTTTGCCAACCCTTTCTAGTAGGACTGTAGAAGGGCATATATTTGACCCTTACCCCTTTTCTTTATTATCGGCTCAAAGAATGAGGCTTTACAGAGAATGTGGAATTTTATGGGTGGTTGCAAATCTCTGCTTTGCCCATGATTTCTCTTTATACTTAATGCAACAGCCCCCTTTCACACACTCCGTGTCTGTGAATCGGTGTTTGTGTGTGTGTGTATATATATACTCCGTAATCCGTATGATGTTTCAGCTATCTAGCTAAGCTTTAGTGAGTTACTACCTGTAGTAAGTATATTATTGGTAATGTTATTGCTGACTGCTGTGGACCATATAGTTATTGATTTGCTGCGTGATGGTAATTTGGTGGTTTTGTACTCATGAATGTGTGTATGTGTGGATACGTATATATAAAGAGATTTATGAGGTGGTGATGATGATGGATCTTTTGAGCAAAAAATGGTATTGAGATGATTTACCTGTATCTTGGCAGGGCAACCTGGAGTTGTTTGTGAATATTCGCACTCAAGCTGGGGTTTGCAGCCATGGCAGTGCCAAGCATTTCAATCCTGGAATTATAGGGATCTGAGCCTCAACCTCTATATATTTGATAGCTGCATTATCCATTAGTAGCTCAAGTTCAAAAGTAAATGATCTTTAATTGCATTTGCTGCCGTTGTTATGCTAATCAAAGGAAATTCTTTATTTAATTACATATCTAATACTTATCCTCATTAAAGAAATTTAATACTCTTTGTGTGTTTGCTTTCAAGTTCAAAACTAAATGTTCTTTAATCTAGATTGCAGCCATTATTATGCCGTCAAAGGAAATTCTTTATTGAACTACATATCTAATACAGTAATACCTTTGCTCATTAAAGAAACTTAATACTGTGTGTGTGTGTGTGTTTTGGTGCTTTTTTTTTCACTACTAAGTCTATCTGATGCCAGATGCTAGGTGAAAAAGTTGGAAAATGAAGTCTGCACTGTACAAATTTGATTATGAACCTAGGTTGAACCACTAATTATTGATATAGTGTTATTTCGTTAGAAGAAAGATTTAGTTGAAGCCCAAAGTGCACCTTGAAAGTGAGAAAGCATTGCACGGGTAAACTTAGTCTTATAATAGAGGCTTTAATCTTAACCTTAAACTAATGTGTCTCTGTACCTTTTGAGGAAGCTCAGAAATGAAGAGGGAAAGAGGCAACTGAGTGTTGGGATTTTGTTTAAAGGGTGGTTGGTCTTCTCTGTTCTTGCCAATCATTTCTCCATTTTTCAACAGACTTTTCGTTATTTGGAAATGGAGTATAACATACACAGATAGATAGATTATATGTATTATATTCTGTCCTCATTTGGTTAAGTATTGCTGTTTTCACAATCCCTTTCACCCAATTTGACGGAAACTCATTTTTCATCTGTATTTTGTAAACTCTTCCTACTAGCTTAAGCTTGGTTGGATTGCTAGATGCCTTGAAATTGAGGCAATGTTGATGATATTTCTCGGTTTCTGTGCTTTCTGGACATTTGAGAATAACTGACCCGTATCTTGGCAGGGTGACCCAAGATTATCCCGGTTTGCAGCCATGGTGGCTATGGCTTCTCTTTTGCCCCCATCAGTAACACGGAGCTGAGCCTCAAAGTAAGAAACCTGTCACTGTTGATGTTTATTTGAAACTTATTCCTTTTTGTTTATAATCTACTCAAAAGAATGAGGCTTTACAGAGAATGGGTGGTTGCACATCTCTGTTTTGCCCAAGATTTCTCTTTATACTCAATCCAACAGCCCCCTTTCACACACTCCCTCTCTGTGAACTTGTTTGTGTGTGTGTGTGTGTATATATATATATTTATATATAGATCAGGTATTTATGAATAAAATTATACTTTGTGAGGCCAATTTGACTAGAACTTAGAATACTCTAAAAGAATATCTGATGGAGAGTTTTGTATATATAGATACATATATACATCTTTTTACCCAGAGTATGCACTTACCGTTAACAAATTATGTACATTTAGTTAAAATATTATGCATATTCAATCATAACTGAGTATACATGATTTGTTAACTTAAAATACATAATATGTTAACTATAATTATACATAATCTGGTCTAGTTTTAGCTTGAATCCTGGTTCACAATGTACGCGGACCTCGGTCTAAATTCGCGTGGATCCAGCCCATAATATGCATGGACCCCGGTCCATAATCTGAAAATACGTAGTATATTAACTATATATATATATACATAATTTTGTCTATGTTCAGCTTAAATCCAGATTCTGCAATGCGCGTGGATCCTGTCCACAATAAGTTTGCACCCTGGTCACTAATTTGAAAATACATAATGTGTTAACTACATATATATGGTCCACAATATGTGTGTACATAATCTGGTCCAATTTCAGTTTGAGTTCCAATTCACAATGCGTGTGGACCCCGGTCTGCAATGTGCGTGGATCTAGTCCAACACACGTGTGGACCCAGGTCCACAATGCGTGTCGACCATGCAATGTGCGTGAATTCAGTCCACAATGCATGTGGACCCCTCCAATGTGCGTGGATCCATTCCACAATACATTTGGACCCCGGCCCACAATGCTTGTGGACCCCTGCAATGTGCGTGGATCAAGTCCACAATATGTGTGGACCCGGGACCACAATGTGTGTGGATCCAATCTACAATACGTGTGGACCCGGGTCCACAATGCGTGTGGACCCCAATCCTCAAAGTGCGTGGATCCAGTCAACAATACGTGTGGAATTGGGTCCACAATGTCTGTGGACCCCTGCAATGTGCGTGGATCCAGTCTACAATACGTGTGGACTCGGGTTCACAATGTGTGTGGACCTTTGCAATTTGCGTGGATCCAATTTACAATACATGTGGACCCGGGTCCACAATGCGAGTGGACCCCGATCCACAATGCGCGTGGACCCTACTGTAGTTGCTTAAATTGAAGATCCAGTCTACAATACGTGTGGACCCCAATCCTCAGTGTGCGTGGATCCAGTCTACAATACGTGTGGAATTGGGTCCACAATGTCTGTGAACGCCTGCAATGTGCGTGGATCCAGTCGACAATATGTGTGGACCCGGGTTCACAATGCGTGTGGACCCTTGCAATGTGTGTGAATCCAGTTTATATTACATGTGGACCTGGGTCCACAATGCGAGTGGACCCCGATCCACAATGCGCGTGGACCCTACTAAAGTTGCTTAAATTAAGGATCCAGTCTACAATACGTTTGGACCCCAATCCTCAATGTGTGTGGATCCAGTCAACAATACGTGTGGACCTGGGTCCACAATGCGTGTGGACCCTTGCAATGTGCGTGAATCCAGTTTACATTACATGTGGACCCGGGTCCACAATGCGAGTGGACCCTGATCCACATTGCGCGTGGACCCTACTGTAGTTGCTTAAATTGAGGATCCAGTCTACAATACGTGTGGACCCCAATCCTCAATATGCGTGGATCCAGTCAACAATACATGTGGACCTGGGTCCACAATGCGTGTGGACCCCTGCAATGTGCGTGGATCCAGTCAACAATACGTGTGGACCCGGGTTCACAATGCGTGTGGACCCTTGCAATGTGCGTGAATCCAGTTTACATTACATGTGGACCCGGGTCCACAATGCGAGTGGACCCCGATCCCCAATTCGTGTGGACCTTACTGTAGTTGCTTAAATTGAGGATGTAGTCCTAATTGTGTCCCTGTACTTTACATGGTAGCTCAGAAATGGAGAGGAATGAGGCAACAGAGTGTTGGGTTTTTGTTGAAAGGGTGGTTGACCTCTGTTCTTGCCAATGATTTCTCCAGATTTCAACAGCCCTTTCGTTCCTCTGGAAATGAAATATAACTGATTCACACAGATGGATTACATCTCATTTGGTTTTAGGTTTTCTGCTCTTTTCCCAATTCTTTTCACTCATTCCATGGAAACTCTGTTTTTGGTTGTCTGTAATTCTGTATTCTATAAACTATTGCTGCTAGCATAATCTTTGTCGGATGGCTAGATGCCTTGAAAGTTGAAAGTGAGGCGATGATGATATTTCTCAGTTTCTGTGCTTTCTGAGCTACTTATCTGGGCAATTGAGATTAACTGACCCGTATCATGGCGGGGCAACCCGGAATAATACCGGGTTTGCAGCCATGGCGGTGATGGCTTCTCTTTTACCCCTATCAGGAACACGGAGCTGAGCCTCAAAGTTAGGATCCTGTTGATGTTGATGTTTGCCGACCCTTTCTAGTAGGAGGGCATATAATTGCCCTTTATCCCATTACTTATAATCGGATAAAAGAATCTTCGAGGTAGCTCAGAAATGGAGAGGGAAAGGGGCAACAGAGAGTTGGGTTTTTGTTGAAAGGGTGGTTGACCTTCTCTGTTCTTGCCAATGATTTCTCTTTATTTCAACAGCCCTTCCGTTCATCTGAAAATGAAATAGAACAGATACACACAGATGGATTACAGTTTACCTTGAGAATTGAATGTGGTAAAAATTATATCTGGAATATTTTATTGCACTAACAGACATATATTCTATAGTATTTTTCCATGAACAATCTCCAGGTTGGTGGTTATGGAAGCATAATTTTTGGCGCCATGAACCTACAAATGGAGTGTTCAATTCTCAGCTGGCAGGTTTAAATCGTGGAATCTCAAAAATGCCCACAATGCTCCAAAACATATTACATTCTGTCCTCATTTGGTTTTAATTACTGCTGTTTTCCCAATCTTTTTCACTCATTCCATGGAAACTCTGTTTTTGGTTGTCTGTATTCTATAAACTATTGCTGCTAACTTAATCTCTGTCGGATGGCTAGATGCCTTGAAACTTGAAAGTGAGGCGATGATGATATTTCTCGGTTTCTGTTCTTTCTGTGTTACTTATCTGGGCAATTGAGATTAACTGACCCGTATCTTGGCGGGGCAACCCGGAATAATACCGGGTTTGCAGCCATGGCGGCGATGGCTTCTCTTTTGCCCCCATCAGTAACACGGAGCTGAGCCTCAAAGTAAGATTCCTGGTGATGTTGATGTTTTCCGGCCCTTTCTAGTAGGAGGGCATATATTTGACCCTTATCCCTTTTCTTATAATGTGCTCAAAGAATGAGGCTATACAGAGAATATTGAACTTTTGTGGGTGGTTGCACATCTCTGTTTGCCCATGATTTCACTTTATGCTCAATGCAACAGCCCCCTTTCACACACTCTGTGTCTGTGAACCTGCATATATATATATATATGATGATTCAGCTAGCTAGCTTAAGCTTTAGTGTTACTACTTATAGTAAGTATATTACTGGTAATGTTGTTGCTGTGGACTATATAGTTCTTGATATGCTGCGTGGTGGTAATTTTGTGGTTTTGTACTCCTGCATATGTGTGTTTGAATACATATATATGATATATGAAGAGATTTATGAGGCGGTGATGATGGATCTTTTGAGCAAACAATGGTAGTGAGATGTTTGACCTGTATCTTGGCAGGGCAACCTTGACTTGTTTGTGAATATTTTCACACCCAAGCAGGGGTTTGCAGCCATGGCGGTGCCAAGCATTTCAATCCTGGAATTATAGGGATCTGAGCCTCAATCTCTATATATTTGACCCTTAACCCTTTTCTTTATAACAGGCTCAAAGAATGAGGCTTTACTGAGAATATGGAATTCTTATGGGTGGTTGCGCATCTCTGTTTTGCCCTTGATTGCTTTTCATACTCCATGCAACAGCCCCCTTTCACACACTGTGTGTTACTTGTGTGTGTGTGTGTGTATATATATACTCCATGCAACAACCCCCTTTCACACACTGCGTGTTACTTGTGTGTGTGTGTGTGTATATATATATATACGATGTTTCAGCTTGCTAGCTTAAGGATTAGTTCATTACTACCTGTACTAAGTGTATTATTGGTACTGTTATGTCTGTGGAACATATAGTTCTATTCTTTTTGGGTTTAGGGTTTTAGGTTTAAAGGAAATTCTTTAGTGAAGTACATGTCTAATACTTCTCATTAAAGAAATTTTATACTCTTTATGTGTTTGCTTTCAAGTTCAAAACTGAATGATCTTTAATTGCATTTGCAGCCATTGTTATGCTGTCAAAGGAAATTTTTTATTGAACTGCATATCTAATACCTATACTCTCATTAAAGAAACTTAATAACAGTCTTCTAACCAAATACCAATATCATACATTTCCTTAAGAATAATGTCTATCTTAGATTTCATTAATATCTATACTATCTATTAAGTTTGGATTTAAAACATTTTGCTTTTATCATACTTGGAACTTAATATTAATTGCAACTCTGTTTATACAATTATGCATGAATCAATTTCATATTATACCAACCACCCAAAGTATATTATGTGTTTTATAATCAAAATTCATACAAGCTTCACCGGCCACCCAATGCACCTTTGACATAGCCAAGAATGGAAGAGAGAAAGAGGCAGCAGAGATTTGGGATTTTCTTGAAAGGGTGGTTGACAGTTCTGTTTGACAATGATTTTTCCATTTCCAACAGCCCTTTCATTCTTTTTTGCCCAAAAAAGAAAGGGAAAGCGTACAAATTCTGTGATTATTTGCTTTTGAAGCTGTTCTTCTCAAAGCCTTTTCTTTCTGCTTGTGGAAGTCTGTTTTCTGATACATTCTTTGGTTACCTGTAATCTTATGAGGGAAAAATGCTATTGACCCAGATTGTTTCCACAATATGAGGCTATGATGATGTTTTTCTGTTTCTGCTTCTTTCTGGGCCACTAATTTTGGGCACTTGAGATGATCTGATCCGTAACTTGGCAGGGTGGTCCGGAATATGCCCGGTTTTTGCAGCCTTGGCGATGTTGGCTTCTCTCTTGCCCCCATATGAAAACAAATCTGAGCCTCAAGCTATAGGAGACCTGTTCATTTACGGCCCCATTACATTCCAACTTAAAGAATGAGGCTTTACTGAGAAATGGAGATTTTTTTTGGGTGGTTGCACTTCTCTGGTTAGCCTATGATTTGCTTTTGTTTCTTCCATGCAACAGCCCTTCCACACACACAATATGTGTGTGGATGTATCTGTGGTTCTGTGGATATATTTCAGCAAGGTTTCCCATACGATACTCTCAGGTTAGTAAACAGACCCTAAGTGTAAGCTCAAGATTGAGGGTTTACATGGAGAATTTCCATAGTTGGTAACTCTTTTGTGGTTAGACCTTGATTTCCTGTTTTTACTTCTGTGTAATTGTGTTATCTATTCTCAGTTCAGTGTTTGCTTAACTTACAAATCACAACGTCAATATTTGAAAACACAAACCATGGAAGAGGAAAAGAAAGTTGATTATGGGGCAATGATGATATACTTTCGAGCAAAGTAAGTGTATTTTGATTATATGACCCATGTCTTGGCATGGCAACCTGGATTTTCTCATTGACTAGCTGGGATTTTGCAGCCAAGGTGGTGTCAAGTGTTTAAATATCAGAATTATGAAAATCTGAGCCCCAGTCTCTATATACATTTTAAAGATGGAATAGGTTTCACTTAGAAAGATGGCAAAAATGAAGCGAACCAAGAGCTGGGATTTCTTCTAAGGGTGGTTGACCCTCTTGGTTTCAGCTTATGATTTCTCTGTTTTCATTTACATGAAATAAAAAACCAACAGCCCTTCATTTTTCAAGAAAACAACAATAATTTATAGTAATCTCATGCCTGACATTCTTCCATGGAAGCCGGACTGAAGAGGGAAAGGCTTTTTACCTGAGAAATAGGCCATGCAGCCCAGAAAGGAAGCGGGAATGAGGCAGCAGAGTTTGGGATTTTCGCGAAAGGGTGGTTGAACCGCTCTGTTTTTTCTGCCAGTGATTTCTCCATTTTCAACAGCCCTTTTTGTTTTACTGAGAAATGGGAATTATTGAATTAAGCAGACAGATGGAAAGATAGATAGAATGTTGTTACAGTAATTTATTTAGGTCCTGTTCAAGTAAGGTAAAATTTTCTCCCATTTTCATGGTGGTGTGCTTGTGAAAGTTCTCTTATGCTGATGTTCTATCTCCATTAGTTTCTACTCATATATGTTCCTATTCAACAGTGATTCCTTCTCTTAGCGAGGCTATGATGATATTGTTCTGTTTCTGTTTTCCTTTCTGGGCTGCTGATTTGGGTAGCTGAGCTGATCCAACCCGTATCTTGGCATGGCAATCCGGAACATAACCTGGTTATTTGCAGCCATGGCGGCGTGGGCTTCTCTCTATCCCCATTAAAACATTGATCTGAGCCTCAAAACTACTGCTGACACTTTATTCAAAAGTGCAATTTCTATTTTACTTCAAGCTTCTGCATAAAGAATGTGTATTTACAGACATTTTAGCAGTGAGCTTTTGCAGGTGTCGGGTTGGAATTCTTTCTTGCGTTTTTTGGCAATAGTTTTCGATTGAAAGATGACACTTGGGAAGGTGCTTTGGCAAGGGAATATGAAGTTGGAAGGTGGTTGTTTTTACACTTTCAATGCCTGCTAAAGGAATCTTGATGAGAAGCCCGCCCCCCCCCCCCCCCCCCCCCCTCTTTCTATAATTTCATTTTTAGTCTTAGATTTATAGGTTGAATTCATTTTTATAGGTGTCAACCCTGCAATGTGCGTGGATCCAGTCCACAATACGTGTGGACCTGGGTTCACAATGCGTGTGGACCGTTGCAATGTCTGCGGATCTAGTCCACAATACGTGTGGACCCCTGCAATGTGCGTTGATCCGGTCCACAATACGTGTGGACCCTTGCAATGTGCACGGATCCAGTTTACAATATGTGTGGACCTGGGTCCACAATGCGTGTGGACCTGGGTCCACAATGCGTGTGGACCCCGATCATCAATGTGCGTGGATCCAGTCCACAATACGTGTGAACCTGGGTCCACAATGCGCGTGGACCTCTGCAATGTGCGTGGATCTAGTCGACAATATGTTTGGATCCGGGTCCACAATGCGTGTAGACCCCTGCAATGTGCATGGATCCTGTCAACAATATGTGTGGACCCTTGCAATGTGCGTGAATCCAGTTTACAATACATGTGGACCCTGGTCCACAATGCGCGTGGACCCCGATCCACAATGCCCGTGAACCCTACTGTAATTGCTTAAATTGAGGCTGTAGTCCTAACTGTGTGTCTGTGTCCCTGTACTTTACGAGGTAGCTCAGAAATGAAGAGGGAAAGAGGCAACAGAGAGTTGGGGGTTTTTGTTGAAAGGGTGGTTGACCTTCTCTGTTCTTGCCAATGATTTCTCCATATTTCAACAGCCCTTTCGTTACTCTGGAAATGGAATGCATATATTACGTTCTATCCTCATTTGGTTTTAATTTCTGCTCTTTTCCTGGAATCTCTGTTTTTGGTTGTCTGTATTCTATAAACTATTGCTGCTTGCTTAATCTGTGTTGGATGGCTAGATGCCCTGAAGCTTGAAAGTGAGGCGATGATGATATTTCTTGGTTTCTGTTCTTTCTGAGCTACTTATCTGGGCAATTGAGATTAAATGACCCGTATCTTGGCGTGGCAACCCGGAATAATACCGATGTTGCAGCCATGGCGGCAATGGCTTCTCTTTTACCCCTATCAAGAACATGGAGCTGAGCCTCAAAGTAAGAATCTTGTTGATGTTGATGTTTGCCAACCCTTTCTAGTAGGACTGTAGGAGGGCATATATTTGACCCTTACCCCTTTTCTTTATAATCGGCTCAAAGAATGAGGCTTTACAGAGAATATGGAATTTTTATGGGTGGTTGCAAATCTCTGCTTTGCCCATGATTTCTCTTTATACTTAATGCAACAGCCCCCTTTCGCACACTCTGTGTCTGTGAACCGGTGTTTGTGTGTGTATATATATATACTCCGTATGATCTTTCAGATATCTAGCTAAGCTTTAGTGAGTTACTACCTGTAGTAAGTATATTATTGGTAATGTTATTGCTGACTGCTGTGGACCATATAGTTATTGATTTGCTGTGTGATGGTAATTTGGTGGTTTTGTACTCATGAATGTGTGTATGTGTGAATACCTATATATAAAGAGATTTATGAGGTGGTGATGATGATGGATCTTTTGAGCAAAAAATGGTGTTCAGATGATTTACCTGTATTTGGCAGGGCAACCTGGACTTGTTTGTGAATATTTTCACACTATAAGTTGGGGTTTGCAGCCATGACAGTGCCAAGCATTTCAATCCTGGAATTATATGGGTCTGAGCCTCAACCTCCATATATTTGATTGCTGCATTATCCATTAGTAGCTCAAGTTCAAAAGTAAATGATCTTTAATTGCAGTTGCTGCCATTGTTATGCTATCAAAGGAAATTCTTTAGTGAATTACATATCTAATACTTATACTCATTAAAGAAATTTAATACTCTTTGTGTGTTTGCTTTCAAGTTCAAAACTAAATGTTCTTTAATCAAGATTGCAGCCATTATTATGCCGTCAAAGGAAATTCTTTACTGAACTACATATTCTTTATTGAACTACATATCATGCAAGATTATCCCGGTTTTTGCAGCCATGGTGGCTATGGCTTCTCTTTTGCCCCCATCAGTAACACGGAGCTGAGCCTCAAAAGTAAGAAACCTGTCACTGTTGTTGTTTGACAGCTGTTTCTAGTAGGATGGCATATATTTGAAACTTATCCCTTTTTGTTTATAATCTACTCAAAGAATGAGGCTTTACAGAGAATGGGTGGTTGCACATCTCTGTTTTGCCCAAGATTTCTCTTTATACTCAATCCAACAGCCCCCTTTCACACACTCCCTCTCTGTGAACCTGTGTGTGTGTGTCTATCTATCTATCTATATATATATATATATATATATATATATATATATATATATATATATAGATTAGGTATTTTATGAATAAAATTATACTTTGTGAGACCAATTTGACTAGAACTTAGAATACTCTAAAAGAATATCTGATGGAGAGTTTTGTATATATAGATACATATATACATCTTTTTACCCAGACTATGCACTTACTGTTAACAAATTATGTACATTTAGTTAACATATTATGCATATTCAATCATAACTGAATATACATGATTTGTTATCTGAAAATACATAATATGTTAATTATAATTATACATAATCTGGTTAGTTTTAACTTGAATCATGGTTCACAATGCACGTGGACCTCGGTTTAAATGCGCATGGATCCATCCCGTAATTCGCGTGGATCCTGTTCACAATAATTGTGCACCCTGGTCAATAATTTGAAAATACACAATGTGTTAACTACATATATATACATAATCTGGTCCAATTTCAGCTTGAATTCCAATTCACAATGCGTGTGGACCCCGGTCTGCATTGTGCGTGGATCCAATCCAACACACCTGTGGACCCAGGTTCACAATGCGTGTCGACCTTGCAATGTGTATGAATCCAGTCCACAGTGCATGTGGACACCTCCAATGTGCGTGGATCCATTCCACAATACGTGTGGACCCGGGCCCACAATGCTTGTGGACCCCTGCAATGTGTGTGGATCCAGTCCACAATGTGTGGACCCGGGACCACAGTGTGTGTGGATCCAGTCTACAATACGTGTGGACCCGGGTCCACAATGCGTGTGGACCTGGGACCACAATGTGTGTGGATCTAGTCTACAATAACGTGTGGACTTGGGTCCACAATGCATGTGGACCCCAATCCTCAATGTGCGTGGATCCCGTCAACAATTGAATGCGTGTGGACCCCTGTAATGTGCGTGAATCCAGTCCAAAATACATGTGGACCCAGGTTCACAATGCATGTGGACCCTTGCATTGTGCGTGGATCCAGTTTACAATACATGTGGACCCGGGTCCACAATGCGATGCGTGTGGACCCCAATCCACAATTCTGTGGACCCTACTGTAGTTGCTTAAATTGAGGATATCCACAATTCTGTGGACCCTACTGTAGTTTCTTAAATTGAGGATATCCACAATTCTGTGGACCCTACTGTAGTTGCTTAAATTGAGGATATCCACAATTCTGTGGACCCTACTGTAGTTTCTTAAATTGAGGATATCCACAATTCTGTGGACCCTACTGTAGTTGCTTAAATTGAGGATATCCACAATTCTGTGGACCCTACTGTAGTTGCTTAAATTGAGGATCCAGTCTACAATACAGTGTGGACTTGGGTCCACAGTGCGCGTTGATCCCAAACCTCAATTGCGTGGATCCAGTCAACAATACGTGTGGACCTGGGTCCACAATGTGCGTGGATCCCTGCAATGTGCGTGGATCCAGTCGACAATACGTGTGGACCCAGGTTCACAATGCGTGTGGACCCTTGCAATGTGCGTGTATCCAGTTTACAATACATGTGGACCCGGGTCCACAATGCGTGTGGACCCCAATCCTCAATTGCGTGGATCCAGTCAACAATACGTGTGTACCTGGGTCCACAATGCGTGTGGACCCCTGCAATGTGCGTGGATCCAGTCGACAGTACGTGTGGACCCGGGTTCACAATGCGTGTGGACCCTTGCAATGTGCGTGGATCCAGTCAACAATACGTGTGGACCCCTGCAATGTGCGTGGATCCAGTCGACAATACGTGTGGACCCGGGTTCAAAGTGCGTGTGGACCCTTGTAATGTGCGTGGATCCAGTTTACAATACGTGTGGACCCGGGTCCACAATGCGAGTGGACCCCGATCCACAATTCGTGTGTACCCTACTGTAGTTGCTTAAATTGAGGATGTAGTCCTAATTGTGTCCCTGTACTTTACATGGTAGCTCAGAGATGGAGAGGAAAGAGGCAACAGAGTGTTGGGTTTTTGTTGAAAGGGTGGTTGACCTCTGTTCTTGCCAATGATTTCGCCAGATTTCAACAGCCCTTTCGTTCCTCTGGAAATGAAATATAACTGATTCACACAGATGGATTACATCTCATTTGGTTTTAGGTTTTCTGCTCTTTTCCCAATTCTTTTCACTCATTCCATGGAAACTCTGTTTTTGGTTGTCTGTAATTCTGTATTCTATAAACTATTGCTGCTAGCATAATCTTTGTCGGATGGCTAGATGCCTTGAAAGTTGAAAGTGAGGCGATGATGATATTTCTCGGTTTCTGTGCTTTCTGAGCTACTTATCTGGGCAATTGAGATTAACTGACCCGTATCTTGGCGGGGCAACCCGGAATAATACCGGGTTTGCAGCCATGGCGGTGATGGCTTCTCTTTTGCCCCCATCAGTAACACGGAGCTGAGCCTCAAAGTAAGATTCCTGGTGATGTTGATGTTTTCCGGCCATTTCTAGTAGGAGGGCATATGTTTGACCCTTATCCCTTTTCTTATAATGTGCTCAAAGAATGAGGCTATACAGAGAATATTGAACTTTTGTGGGTGGTTGCACATCTCTGTTTGCCCATGATTTCACTTTATGCTCAATGCAACAGCCCCCTTTCACACACTCTGTGTCTGTGAACCTGCATATATATATATATATGATGATTCAGCTAGCTAGCTTAAGCTTTAGTGTTACTACTTATAGTAAGTATATTACTGGTAATGTTGTTGCTGTGGACTATATAGTTCTTGATATGCTGCGTGGTGGTAATTTTGTGGTTTTGTACTCCTGCATATGTGTGTTTGAATACATATATATGATATATGAAGAGATTTATGAGGCGGTGATGATGGATCTTTTGAGCAAACAATGGTAGTGAGATGTTTGACCTGTATCTTGGCAGGGCAACCTTGACTTGTTTGTGAATATTTTCACACCCAAGCAGGGGTTTGCAGCCATGGCGGTGCCAAGCATTTCAATCCTGGAATTATAGGGATCTGAGCCTCAATCTCTATATATTTGACCCTTAACCCTTTTCTTTATAACAGGCTCAAAGAATGAGGCTTTACTGAGAATATGGAATTCTTATGGGTGGTTGCGCATCTCTGTTTTGCCCTTGATTGCTTTTCATACTCCATGCAACAGCCCCCTTTCACACACTGTGTGTTACTTGTGTGTGTGTGTGTGTGTGTGTGTGTGTGTGTGTGTATATATATATATATATATATATATATATATATATATATATATATATATATATATATATATATATATATATATATATATATATATACTCCATGCAACAACCACCTTTCACACACTGTGTGTTACTTGTGTGTGTGTGTGTATATATATATGATGTTTCAGCTTGCTAGTTTAAGGATTAGTGCGTTACTACCTGTACTAAGTATATTATTGGTACTGTTATATCTGTGGAACATATAGTTCTATTTTTTTTGGGTTTAGGGTTTTGGGTTTAAAGGAAATTCTTTAGTGAACTACATGTCTAATACTTCTCATTAAAGAAATTTTATACTCTTTATGTTTTTGCTTTCAAGTTCAAAACTGAATGATCTTTAATTGCATTTGCAGCCATTGTTATGCTGTCAAAGGAAATTTTTTATTGAACTGCATATCTAATACCTATACTCTCATTAAAGAAACTTAATAACAGTCTTCTAACCAAATACCAATATCATACATTTCCTTAAGAATAATGTCTATCTTAGATTTCATTAATATCTATACTATCTATTAAGTTTGGATTTAAAACATTTTGCTTTTATCATACTTGGAACTTAATATTAATTGCAACTCTGTTTATACAATTGGGCACTTGAGATGATCTGATCCGTAACTTGGCAGGGTGGTCCGGAATATGCCCTGTTCTTTGCAGCCATGGCGATGTTGGCTTCTCTCTTGCCCCCATTAGAAAACAAATCTGAGCCTCAATCTGTAGGAGACCTTGTCATTGACGGCCCTATTACATTCCAACTTAAAGAATGAGGCTTTACCGAGAAATGGAGATTTTTTTTGGGTGGTTGCACTTCTCTGGTTAGCCTATGATTTGCTTTTGTTTCTTCCATGCAACAGCCCTTCCACACACAATATGTGTGGATATATGTGTGTGTATGTAT